TTTCAACACTGACTAAGCCTTGATCTCAATGTTCGGTAAAAGTCGTTCCTTTTTTCAACGTTGAAGTGGCACTGTTATCAATGCTGACTCGACACACTCAGCACTCAACAGATATGTTGACTGCTATTTTCCAATGAATTATGGGTAATTGGTAGGACATTTGAATGAAATCGATCTTGCTGAGAATGGAGTTATGGGAACTAAGCATTTCATACTTGAGTTGGAACGTCATTGATGACGTCAAATTGTTGGTTTCAACACTCAACACTTGTGTTGAAAATTGGAATGTCCCATTTATAAATTATTTATTTTGAAGAATAAAATTTTAATTTCTAAATGTTTTTGTTAAAACTTTTACAGATCAAAACATGTAGAATTAAAAAACATTTAAAATATTGTAATTATAATTTGAAGAAAATGACTGAATTTTTAAAACAAAACATATAATGAGTATAATGAGATTAAAATTACAATTAATTAGATCAAGTAATACCTCAAATGTAAAGAAGTCAAAGTTAAGAAAAAAAAATTATAAAATCCAAATTTCTTAAAAGAGATTTTAAAGAGGAAACAAAAAAGTTGTAAAGATTTAAGTTAAAGGACTTTTTAAAAATAACCTAAAAAAACTAATATAGAGTACATCAAATCTCTCAACTTTCCCTGTATGATAAATCCTACATTTGTAATGTGCATGGCAAAATTAATCACTTTTAACTGTCGTTTTTGAATGCATTTAAGGTTTAAACTTCTCTCAGCTTTTGACAAATCTTTTGAAAAAACTGGTCCTGAGTAAAGTCACAAGGAAATATATTTTTAGTTTAATATTAACACATAAAAAGACGTATATAATGTCATATGCTGAGGTATTAACACATAAAAAGACGTATATAATGTCATATTCTGAGGTACTAACACATAAAAAGACATATATAATGTCATATNTTATATTATTATTATTTTATTCTTTATTACAAAATATTTAAGAGGTAATGCCATCTAGGCAAACTAAGCCTCCCCTGTAAACAACAAAAAGTATATGTTGTTTTAAATTTTTTTATAAGTAGTTAACTTTATCTTCAAAAACATAGTTTATATCATCGTGACATTCCAATTTTCAACACTGACTAAGCCTTGATCTCAATGTTCGGTAAAAGTCGTTCCTTTTTTCAACGTTGAAGTGGCACTGTTATCAATGCTGACTCGACACACTCAGCACTCAACAGATATGTTGACTGCTATTTTCCAATGAATTATGGGTAATTGGTAGGACATTTGAATGAAATCGATCTTGCTGAGAATGGAGTTATGGGAACTAAGCATTTCATACTTGAGTTGGAACGTCATTGATGACGTCAAATTGTTGGTTTCAACACTCAACACTTGTGTTGAAAATTGGAATGTCCCATTTATAAATTATTTATTTTGAAGAATAAAATTTTAATTTCTAAATGTTTTTGTTAAAACTTTTACAGATCAAAACATGTAGAATTAAAAAACATTTAAAATATTGTAATTATAATTTGAAGAAAATGACTGAATTTTTAAAACAAAACATATAATGAGTATAATGAGATTAAAATTACAATTAATTAGATCAAGTAATACCTCAAATGTAAAGAAGTCAAAGTTAAGAAAAAAAAATTATAAAATCCAAATTTCTTAAAAGAGATTTTAAAGAGGAAACAAAAAAGTTGTAAAGATTTAAGTTAAAGGACTTTTTAAAAATAACCTAAAAAAACTAATATAGAGTACATCAAATCTCTCAACTTTCCCTGTATGATAAATCCTACATTTGTAATGTGCATGGCAAAATTAATCACTTTTAACTGTCGTTTTTGAATGCATTTAAGGTTTAAACTTCTCTCAGCTTTTGACAAATCTTTTGAAAAAACTGGTCCTGAGTAAAGTCACAAGGAAATATATTTTTAGTTTAATATTAACACATAAAAAGACGTATATAATGTCATATGCTGAGGTATTAACACATAAAAAGACGTATATAATGTCATATTCTGAGGTACTAACACATAAAAAGACATATATAATGTCATATGCTGAGGTATTAACACATAAAAAGACTTATATAATGTCATATTCTGAGGTACTAACACATAAAAAGACATATATAATGTCATATTCTGAGGTATTAACACATAAAAAGATGTATATAATGTCATATTCTGAGGTACTAACACATAAAAAGACATATATAATGTCATATGCTGAGGTATTAACACATAAAAAGACTTATATAATGTCATATTCTGAGGTACTAACACATAAAAAGACATATATAATGTCATATTCTGAGGTATTAACACATAAAAAGATGTATATAATGTCATATTCTGAGGTACTAACACATAAAAAGACATATATAATGTCATATGCTGAGGTATTAACACATAAAAAGACTTATATAATGTCATATTCTGAGGTACTAACACATAAAAAGACATATATAATGTCATATTCTGAGGTATTAACACATAAAAAGATGTATATAATGTCATATTCTGAGGTACTAACACATAAAAAGACATATATAATGTCATATGCTGAGGTATTAACACATAAAAAGACTTATATAATGTCATATTCTGAGGTACTAACACATAAAAAGACATATATAATGTCATATTCTGAGGTATTAACACATAAAAAGATGTATATAATGTCATATTCTGAGGTACTAACACATAAAAAGACATATATAATGTCATATGCTGAGGTATTAACACATAAAAAGACTTATATAATGTCATATTCTGAGGTACTAACACATAAAAAGACATATATAATGTCATATTCTGAGGTATTAACACATAAAAAGATGTATATAATGTCATATTCTGAGGTACTAACACATAAAAAGACATATATAATGTCATATGCTGAGGTATTAACACATAAAAAGACTTATATAATGTCATATTCTGAGGTACTAACACATAAAAAGACATATATAATGTCATATTCTGAGGTATTAACACATAAAAAGATGTATATAATGTCATATTCTGAGGTACTAACACATAAAAAGACATATATAATGTCATATGCTGAGGTATTAACACATAAAAAGACTTATATAATGTCATATTCTGAGGTACTAACACATAAAAAGACATATATAATGTCATATTCTGAGGTATTAACACATAAAAAGATGTATATAATGTCATATTCTGAGGTACTAACACATAAAAAGACATATATAATGTCATATGCTGAGGTATTAACACATAAAAAGACTTATATAATGTCATATTCTGAGGTACTAACACATAAAAAGACATATATAATGTCATATTCTGAGGTATTAACACATAAAAAGATGTATATAATGTCATATTCTGAGGTACTAACACATAAAAAGACATATATAATGTCATATGCTGAGGTATTAACACATAAAAAGACTTATATAATGTCATATTCTGAGGTACTAACACATAAAAAGACATATATAATGTCATATTCTGAGGTATTAACACATAAAAAGATGTATATAATGTCATATTCTGAGGTACTAACACATAAAAAGACATATATAATGTCATATGCTGAGGTATTAACACATAAAAAGACTTATATAANCAGGGTCGGAGGTAAGTAGTTCGGCTGCTCATCCACTATTGGTCCAGACTCTATCAATCTTCTCGCGAAACGACGTTATAGGAGGTACGTTATACGAAAGTTTCTACAATTTTTTCGCTACGTTATAGGAATTGTCGTTATAGGAACGTACGTTATAGGGGGGTCAACTGTATATATTTTTAACATTTAATTTTTTTTAAACAGATTTTATAGTTTATTGTTTTACAGATAACAATAATTTTAAGTGATTTTTAATTTACCAAGCTTCAGTTGTTTTGAAGTTTTAAGAAGTTTTTTAAAACTCTGGAATATTTTACATTGATAAAAAAAGTTACTTTAGTCACTTAATATTTAATTTTTATAGTTTTAATGCAATTATTCTATTTTAATTCATACTTTGTTTTTAAATCATACTTTATGATGTATAAAATCTGTAACTGTGACACTCTCCCAGGTAAATTTGTTTATTTTAATTTTTTTTAAATTTCATATATATTTAGTGTCTCAGCATATGACATTATATAGATCTTTTATATGTTAATATTAAAAATTAAAAATATATTTGTGACTTTACTCAGGACCAGTTTTTTAAAAGATTTGTCAACAGCTGAAGAGAGGTTTAGACCCGAAATGCATACAAAAACGACAATTCAAAGTGATTAATTTTGCCATGCACATATCTTGTTTGATAAATTCTACATTTGTCAAGTTGTGAGATTTAAGAAGTACAACAATTAAACAGGACAAGAAACTTTGAACACAAGAGAAAATAAATCATACTCAAGATTGAAAGAATGTAAGACTGCAATCAGAAGAGATTATTAATGACAAAATTAACAGAAGTATTAGGTAAGAATATAATATTAAAAAGATGAGACAAATATAAAGGCAATGAATGTACCGAGAAAATTTTAGGATAGGGATCTTGCATATTTAATGAAAAACATTTATAAAAACTAATAATAGTGAAGAAGCAAAAGTTGAGAATATTTATGAAACTGACTCTATGAAAGAGATTTCAGTAGATATAAGCATCAAGATAAATAGGCATTTTAAAATGCCATTTTCATAATAACGACATTTTAAAAAAATTTCCATTGTGTTTTATTCCATTAACTGTCATTTAAGGCACTTAAAATATATTGAAGAGTGGTAAAATGTTAAATTAGCATTAAAAATATGAAATCTTTCTAAATGTATAGCCTATAAACAGATGTTTTGGAAATTGTAAAATTTTGAAAACTTTTAAAAATATGGAATTATATTTCAATATATTCTATCAAATATTAAAAAAAAGTCAATTTTAATTAAATTGCCTAATTATTAATCAAACTGTCTCTGTCTTTATCAATTTATATACAGTTTGATTAAACCGTATATAAAACTAAAATGCTAATTACCTTTTGATTACTCAATATCTTCCTGATTAACAGCATTAAATCACTGCCATTTATCTTTTGTTGATTACATACATCATTGAATATATGTAACATATTTTCTTTTTCACTTCCTTCAAATTCAACATCAAGGTGTTCCAATAATAATTCTAAAGCTGCAACTAAAAAATATTAAAACATTACATTAAAATTAAATAAAACTAAATAAAAAAAATGATATAAAACTATATTAAATTCTTCATTATACAAGATGCTTTTAAAGTGACTATTATGATGACATTACATCTATTTTAAAAATGTTTGAATTGGCATAATGGTATGCACATTGTTATATGAATTCATGTCTATGAAAATGCATTCAAGTTATAAGGTCTATTTTTTTCTAGGGGAAAGGAACAGGTAGCAACATGTGGTTTTTTTTAAAAGAAGTAGACACTGTTTGTGGTTGCATAACAGAGGATAGCACTGTACAGCACACAGAACTCTAGCAGCAGCAGTTCAAGTGAAAAGCATTTTTGATACACGTAATCATTTGTTTCCTGCTCTTGTGTAAAGTGACACCCACTGAAATTCATTGCTAGTTGAGTGACACATACAGTGATGGTGTCATGGATGTGAAAAATGTGCGTTTGTGGGTGCAACAGCTCAAAGAAGGGTGAACATCATGTGACAACGAACCGAAACATCCATGAACATGCACCAGCCAGTCTGACAACATAATTGTGCATGTGAAGCAAGTTGCTTCAGGTCTGCAATCATGTTGTCATCATGAATTGCTTCCAGCATTGTCAGAAAAACAGCTGAAAAAGGCTGCATGTGTGCTCTTCCATCAAGACAATGCTCCATCTCATTGGACAATGTTAACACAGGAGTTTCTTCGTGAAAACAACTTTGAAGTGGTTTCTCATGCTCCTTACTCACCTGACCTTGCTCATAGCAATTTTTGGCTTTTTTCCAACAATGAAGGACACACTCTACGGTCACATATTTTCCAGCTGTGCTGCTCTAGCATCAGCAATTTTCCAGTTGTCAAAACAGACCTCTAAAGAAGAGTTTGCAGCAGCCATGATGTCATGGCATCAACATTGTGAAAAAAAAGAGAGAGAGAGAGAGAAAGAGAGACCTTAGAACTTGAATGTACCATGTATTTTCATATTAAAATATGCTTTTGTATAATTCCTATTATTTCACAAAATAGATAATCACTTTAGAAACAATTTATTATGAATACATGTAATTATTCAACATCGTACATAAACTAAAAATAGGAATCAAACCTAAATTAGATCCAATTTGAGTTGAAATATCTGTAATTTGTATATTAGGTTGACTCCATAGAAAGATGTTTTTTGGTTCTATTAATTCTGGCAATCTTGAAATTCTTTTCTCCTAAAAAAAATGATTCATATTATAATTTTTGATAATAATAAAGTAATAAGAATATTCATAAAATTAATGGAATTACTGTGTATAAAATGAAATGCCAAGTGAGTTTTATGTACCGTATATAGATAAATGGATTAGATAAAAATTATTGAGAATGCTCTTCAACTTATGATGGATTTCATTTCATTCCAACTACCAGATTGTAACTTATATTTGTTGTATTATACAAGTGATTTGTATCCTGTTAACTTTATACGAACTACTCTCTCTTCATCCTAACAGACTTGTCTTCGCTATCCTGCATCAGCCAAGATTTGTGTCATATACTATATATATATAATCACATTGTGAGTATTAGTATTAATAATAGATAATTGTCCATTTCTATAGTCTGTCAGCAAAAGAGTAGAGATGAGTCAACCTGAGCTGGTTGGAAGGATTTATATTAGATTAAGGGATCTATCTCCTGGAAGTTGAGACATTTATCCTGGAAGTTGAGACATATAATGTTTTTATAATATCTTTATCAAAAATAATTTTATTGTTTTATTTTTTTTTACAAATTTATTACTTATTATTTATTCTAACATTACTCACACATTAATCATATGTCTACTTCCATCCCTTTCATCTAACATAAACCTTTCCAGCTCAGGCTGACTTATGTTTACTCTTTCACTGCAAGTAAAATAATCAACAATCACCTGAAAGATCGGGCTAGAATTTGGCTAATTAATTAAGAGATGGCACCTAATGTCTACTTCTAGTGACAAATTACTTTATATTAATCATTTAATTTGCCAAATTCTAGCGTAATCTTTCAGGTGATCATTGGTTATTTCATTATATACTCATCAGGCTTTAAGATGTTTATTATTTACACTGCAATTATACTATAATATAATTATGTGTATACCAATATTTACTCGCATATAAGATGAGGTTTATATTAATTTTTCACTGCTTCAAAAACTTAGGTCATCCTATATGCACGAGCAAAGGATTTTTTTTGCATTTTTACAATAATAATTTTTGTGAACCATGTATTTGCATCTTTACGGGATGCTCACCCTCTGGTGTTTAAAAACAAAAATATTTTATCTGGGTAATTTCAGTCATTCTTGTGTATTGTCAAGAGTAAAATTGAATAACAATCAGAAAAGCAAAGCTTTTGAATTAAATTCCAAATTGAAATTTCAGAATCACACAAAAGCCTGATATAAGTTTTAATCCATTCCCATGTGAAAACAGACAATTATTTGGAAATCAGAATTTAGAGAAATTCATAAATGTAATCCATGGTGAGTGGATTTGATTGTTAAGAATTGGCAAAAAAGGTTCCCAATTGTCCAGCTTTACATGAACAAATTATATTCATTTTACAATATTTTTCCTTAAAGTTTAAAATTCCAATAATTTTTGCAGGACAATGAGTGAATTTATGTGCATTTGATATTTTATATGATTTAATAAAATAAAATTAGAATTGTATTAATAAATATAATTTTCTTTATATTGATCTTTAAAGTCACACCTCATCCTATATACAAGATCATTTTATATGCAAGTAAATATGGTATACTGTATTATATTATATATATGCACATTGTATATTTATTACAAATTTTTTAGTTTTTTTTGACTAGATGCACTTTCTTCATATTTGCAATTCAGTGATAATAGTTGTAATTTATATTTAACTAGTTTATGTGCCCATTGAATATCAAAAGACTTTTTTTTAAGTAGAAAGTTTCACTATGCATTTTGTTTTCATTAATGCATGCATGAATGTGTTTATTTTGTATTGTTATAGTTATATTTTCAATTATTGGATGTGAAGAAAAATCAAAGAAATACAAAGTTAGAATGACATTTAAAATGAAGCACAACTACATCGCATCACCATATTGAAATATGAAGATCAGACTAAATTTCCTGCATGATGGAATGGAATGCCAGTCTATAATTTTCTGTAAAATAAAGTTAAATGTAGACAAATTTAAATAAGAAACTTTATTTTACAGAAAATTATAGTATATATCTATATATATAAAAATGAATGTATGTGTGTCTGTGTGTCCTTCATGCATTACCACACCATTTGTCCAATTGCCATGAAACTTTGGGAAGTTGTTTAATATACTCCAGCGAAGGTTTGTGGCGTAGTATGATTGCCATAAAGCTTTGGGAAGTTTTTTTAATACACTCCAGCGAAGGTTTCTGGCATTTACCCTAAGATAGATGGCGCGCGTTTACACGAGCATTCGAGCACAGTGTGTTCGATTTATTTCAAATTGTGAAGACCATTTCCCCCCTCCAAAAAATATCTCTATATATGCATTTATTATTTACGATATTTGTTATAATTTTTGTTTAATCACTTTATTTCAACTTTTTTTTGCTAATTACGTAATCGCTTGAACTTTGTTAAAGCCTTAACTGTATCATGAACAACAACCGAAGTTGTAGAAGGAAATTCGCGTATTTTACCGATCTAGGGATCCCCCTTTTCCAAACTTTAATATCAACTCAAAATAATTTAAAAAGACAAATTACAATAAAACGGTTTATTATCCAACTAT